CTCTCTCTCTCTCTCTCTCTCTCTCTCTCTCTCTCTCTCTCACACACTCTCTTTCTGAGAGGAGACCTGGCGAAGGGAAAAGGGTTGGGACAAGAAGGAGGAATAGCTGGAGGGAGGGATGACTGAATAACGAGGAGAAAAACACCCACTCCGGACTGACCGAATTGTATCCGGTGAGAGAAAGAAGGAGAGGAGGAGAGAGGGACCCTGTGGGAGCAGCAGCAGCAGTGTTTGGTATTCACGGGATTTTCCTCTGAGGATAAGAAGACGCTTTTGAATTGATGCCTGGAGAGGTATGAAAGACGATTTCATCCATGGTGCGTGTGTTTGAGTCGCTCTCAGGTGCGCGGCGCTGCACCGTCTCATCGAGTTCATTTGAATGAATCTGATAGTTTGACCTAAAAGTGGCTTTTAAAGAACTGGATTAAATACGAGTCAGCAGCACTTTGAAACCATCCCTGAAGACGAATGTTGGCTGCGGTCAGGGAATCAAACTTGTGCAGTCTCACCAGCAGGTGGAAAAAAATCGTTTAGGAATAAACATCGTATTTTATTTTATTGGGTTAAAGAAATATTATCCACATGTATTTGCCTTAAGCTTTTAAAAATGTGTTTGAGCAGTGTTGGTGCGTGCGTGCGTGCGTGTGGTGTTGTGCTGAAATGTATTTCATTCGTGTGTGCGTAAAACTGAATTCCACAACCAGCCTTAAGAGCTTGGAGTGTGTATTTACACTCACTTTAATGAGGGCGACGCCTCGACCTTGGTTGCCATGAACCAATTAACTATTTGAAAAGTTGCCCTTTGCACTGCAAGAATTAGAAAATCCCGCAAACTGAGGAAAGATTCAACTTCTGGCTTCTTGTGAGTTATGTTATTCCACAAGATCTTAACCCTCATTTGTGTAGGTCTATTGCATTTGTATGTTTCTTTTTTATATGTAGACTAATAATCTCTTTTTATCCCTTTCATTCCCCTCCTCATAGTCTCTGAGCCTGATCCTGTTTTAAAAATATGATATGCTTATTAATATGCACTGTCATTTTTCTGGCCTTTTGACACCGTCTGAATCAAAAGGAGCTGCCTGTTCTTTCAACACCACCGCCGGGCTCTGCCTCTACATCAGCGGATGATTCAATTTCCTAACAACTTTTATTTGTTGCACACACTGCTTTTATTCATTCTACATCAAGTTTGTGTGTGTGTGATTTCTCAGGAGTGAAATGATAAGACATCTGCGTCCTCTTCATAATGAGTGGGAGACTTGAGGAGAGGAGGACGAGAGGATCAGGGGAGGGGGAGAAGGTGTAGAGAAGAAAGAGTGAGGGGTGACAGGAGGAGATGAGATAGGGGAGAAGAGGAGATGAGGTGTTGTGTTTGCTATTGTGGTCGGACAATGGCACTCATCATTAAATGTTCCTTCTCAATTAAGCTTCTACTCTTCCTGTCTGTGTCTATCACTCCTCCTCTCCTCTCCTCTCCTCTCGAACAAAGTCCTCCACTGTTTCTCGCCCTCAGCCCGCTTTGTGTAGGCGTGAGGCTGGACCACTGCTCTGTGGTCAGTCTAGACTGTTGGGCTGCTGCTTTGTAATTGTATCAAAGTGGATATTATAGACAGAAGTAACTGATTCCAGATCAGCGCCTTGGGGCCATGTGGGCAAGGTGGGTCCCTCTCGACCCACGGAGCCTCTCTGCAGCTGAATGGCATTCCTGGTGTTTCTGTCACTGAAGTCCTTTCTTCCTTCTCTGCTTCTCACATTTCATTTCTTTGCTTTTCTTCATTTTCTCAGCGTGGTCTCTCGTCTCTCTCTGCAGGTCTAGACTGCTGGTTGTGAGGATGTTGTCAGCAGGGCGGATCAGGTGGTGTTTGTGGTCTCCACTGGTGCTACTGGCCCTAGTTTCCAATTTCCCCAGTCAGGCACAGGATCAAGGTGAGTTGTTTTTTTCTCTTCTCTAATCTTTTCTTTCTCTTTGCTTCTTACCCTCCCATCACACTCCCACTTCTCCCTCCCTCCCCCCCATCCACCACATCAGACTTTATTTTGCCTCCAGGTCTTCCTCAACGTCCCACCTTGGCCATTCATTCTCCCCCCCATCTGTTCCCTCCATCACCTCCCTGTCCTTCCTACCCTCAAACCTCACCTCCCTGACCCCCTCCGTCTCCATATCCTTCTCCCTCCCCTCCCCTCACCTCTCTCTCTCTTTCTCTGCCATCCCCACATCGCTCCTTCCTCTGTCTTCTCTCTTTGATGTGCAGGCAAAATCTAATCAGATTACACCACGCTCAACGATCATATCACCTCCATATCATTATGCCATTTCACCACGGTGGCACGGCAACGCTTGCGACCCTGCCGATGCTGCCTCGCTCCAGAGGGGTTTTGATAAATGTGTCGCCGTGTGTTGTAGCTGTGCGCTCAAGCTGTGATGATTCGCTGCACAATTTGCTGCACAACTTAAAACGCTCCAGTGTTCTTTGCAATCAACCTCACATCAGCTAACCTGGTTTAATCAAACTGAGCCGTGTCAAAAAGTTGATTGACTGTTTTGTGCAATGTTTTTTTGATCAAAACACTAACAAGAAAGATATATCTGACCTCCATTAACTGTATGTTAATATGTCATTATGTGGCTATATTAGCATAGCACGTGTTAAAACGTGTGTTTTCTGAATGAAACTTGTCATCTTTTCTTATATCTTTTAATAAATCCCTTTACTGACTTCAGACCTAAAAAAAACAAACTACCAGCACATCTTTACTTCATCAAGGAGTCCAGCTGATTTAGGAGATAGGTGCTGAATGTTGTTATTGAGATATTTTGATACCAGCATCGGAAACGCTCCTATCCTGCCAAAAATGCTGGGTCGACTATCGGCTAGTACACAAATCTATGTACTGATCCAATCCTGTGTATATTAGTTTCACCAATGATAAAACTGCAATTTTCTTTTTCCAGGAAATCAGTTTTTCTTCAAGATGTGTTATTAGAGCCGCGAGGAACAATTGTTTTAATTCATGCTGGAAAGTCACAAGTAAAAAGTCAACATGCACTTTATGTTCAAGTTTGGCACTACTTAAAATAACTTTATTTTCATAAACTGTGGGTGCAATTTAACAGCTATAATTTATTTATTTATTTATTGTTTATTTGTGTTACCGGTATAATTTGACTTTAAGCCAACAGAATAAATGTCAAACTAGATAATAAAAGAAGCCAGATGTTATTCTTTTGCTGTACAAAGATTTATTTTAAGCACATAACACATTAAGTAGCACACAGCTGTTAAAACAAATTATATACGTTGCAAAGTCCACGTATCGGAATCGGTATCAGGAAAATGGCATCTTAACATCGTATATACTCCAACAGGATGAATCCCATGTTTTCTGACTTCTATAACTGCAGTGCACTGTGTGTGTGTGTGTGTGTGTGTGTGTGTGTGTGTGTGTGTGTGTGTGTGTGTGTTGTTGACCATGAGTTCATGGTAGTGTGTATTTGATACTGGCAGCCTATGAANTGTGTGTGTGTGTGTGTGTGTGTGTGTGTGTGTGTTGTTGACCATGAGTTCATGGTAGTGTGTATTTGATACTGGCAGCCTATGAAGTGCAGAGGTACTTATCTGGAGATCATATGAAAATGACCCAGAGGGACACTTGAGCATTTAGCTGACCCTGCTTTGTGTGTGTGTGTGTGTGTGTGTGTGTGTGTGTGTGTGTGTGTGTGTAGCTCACATTCCTTCCAGGGTGTGGAGTTAGAGGAGCAGCAGTGGCAGGTCTTGGTTAAAGTACCTTAACACAGAGAAATAAATAAAGATTTTTTACCCCTGTCTGAAGTTGTTTAGAATCAATAACCTACACATGACAGCTGCCTTTATTGATCTGTTTGTAAAATTAAATTAAAAGTTGAGAGAGTTGAGTCCTATTAATAATTTATTTTATCATAGCGAGGTTTTATAGGTTAGTTTTGGTTTCAGACCCATTTTACTTTAAATTATGGAGCTGCTTTGTGTTTCTTTATTGATTGCTTGGAAATGAAAATAAGGTTTTACTATTTTCTTCTCTTCCCCTGAAACTTCTTTCAGTTGACACTCTTTCCTTACCCTCTTTTCTTTCCATCTACACTTTCAACCTCTTTTGCTCTGTTTCTCTTCAGTCATCTCATCTCCTGTTTCGTCCCTTATTCTCTTCACTCCAAGAGGTTTTTATTTCACTTTTCATGAGCAGTTCTGCAGGTCGTGTTTGTCGTTGCATGCAGACAGAAAGGAGAGCAGTGACAGAAGTGTTACAGCATAAATTAGGCTGGGATTTGAGCCCAGTGAATCACAGCAGAACATGGAAGACCTCCCAGACACTACGGGAGCATAGCCTGCTCAATTCCCTTTCATTAGTGAGCATGTGATAGCCATTAATTTTTGCCCGTCCCGTCCCCCGTAAGCTGCAACATCTGGTCCAAGGGGATTTGAGTTTAAGGATTAGTGTGTGTTTTACCCATGGAGGATGTTTGTATATACAACACAAATGTCTGGATATCATCAGAAACTCCCACTACCACAGAGTGGGTGCGTTCAGGAAGAGTTTTCTCACAGCAAGAAATTAAGCAAATGTTTTGGACAAACAAACCATGAGATGTTTTACATCCCAGAATGTTTCATTCATTCTCTAAAGTTTAACTTTCTTTTTATTACACATAACTCTTTTTCAAGGATAAGCTGTGACCAAATTAACTTCTACATTCTGAAGTTTTACTGTGGAAGTGGAATTTCATGAAACTACCAAAATCATGTGGCAGTGCAGAAATTTAGTATGTTTATATGCTGCACATTTACTTTTCTAAACAAGTTGAAAAGGGAATTATACCTGTGTTGCTTTCAAAGGCAACATTTCTTTCTAGTTTTCTTTCAAAATTCATCGTATCCCGTCACAAACGTTAAGTTCAGAAAAAGCCTCAGGTTCACCATCGCATTCCGGCATCATGTCCTTGTCAATTTGATCTGCTGATACCTTTCTTAATGCAGAACCTGAGCAGTGCACAACACAGTGTTTTGTCGGTGCTGACTTTTATTTTCACTGGTTTAAAATTTAGCCTTAAAAAAGCCCTGAGACGGGAAATGCAGATTTTGTCCTCTGCCCGGCCCTCAGAGGGTGCGTGCAGTGACCTGGGAGTTGTGTGTTGCTGTTTCCAGAGCAGCAGTGACAGAAGCAGGAGAGACGGAGTAAATATACCAGATGGTGGATGTTTGCCACTGTTGAATCAAAACTCTGACCTCATTGTCAAGCAAAAAGAATTGTCAAACTTTTTCTGTTTGCATGTTTAGCCCTTGTTCTCTGGACCAATCAGTTAGTCAAAGATGCTAAATGTGTGTGTGTGTGTGAGATTTACATGTGCATTTTTAATTATTGTAATTTTATTTTCTTGATTGGCTGACGGCGTAGTTCAACACCTAACTTCAGGACACATGATAACATTGAGAGGACAACTCAAAAAGATATTGCACTTTTTGTGTTCGTGTGCGTATCTGCATGTGTCGGGATACGTGTGTGTTTTTGTGTGGTGTGAATTTGTGCTTTGACGACTGCCAGGTGATTTAGTATGAGTGAGTGTTGGCCAGTAATTTCAGATATAATGAACAGGGAGAGAAGCCAATGATGAGAAATCATTTATTTATAAACAAAAGAGAGGATGAGATGGAACAACCTGTTTTGAATTTAAAAACTGCTAAATATCCAAAACCTCCACTGCCGTCACCTCAGCTCGCCGCCGCTGCTGCTGCTGCTGTTGATGTTAATCCAGCTTGTCATAATCATCAGCCACTTTGGACTAAATGGAGCATTGAATCGTAGGAGATGTGATTCTCAGGAGGCTTTCTAATTTTGCCCCTGTGTTGTTGTCAGAGGACGTGGCTAAAGGTCTGTTATGTAAATAAACAAAAATTAACTTTAATTAATGGGAACATGGGCTGATAATGACTTTCGCAAATGATTATCTTGAGGGCTGAGAAGGATTAATAAAGCATCACTCTGGATAATTCGGTTCACTTTGCATGCGTTTGCCAAATGACACATGGGTGTCACAGTGTATACAGTAGTAATGAATATCAGGTAAAACAGTATCAGAATCACATAGACAAGCCTGCAAGTGCAATACTTTGCAGAGCCTGAAGGGAGTCAGGATTGATATCGTAGAACAAGGCTGTGAATTGCATCTTGTTTTTCCTGAAGAAAATCTGCCTTAAGGCTCATTCATGCTCAATGTTAGATATGAATACAAACGCAGACCTTAGTTCATATTCTGCTTCATTTCGTCCATATCGGTGAGCTTTCAAAAGACGTGCACAGATACGGATGAAACAGTCTAAACTGAGCAGTACCACCAAAAATCATGAAATCATTTCTGAACAGCTACACCAAAATAACCATCCTCCATAGTTGCTATTGTTAATTGTCGTCAGAAACCTTTGACTCTGCCCTGCCCTCTAGTGGATGGGTTGCTTAACAACCCTGCCAATGCTTGTAGGCACGTGGACAGTGACGGTTACATCGTAAAGGCAGCATAAACTAGCCTTTAGTGGTTAACAAAGTAATTTGTTTGAAATACTACTAAATTTCTTGCTTTGTTAGATAAAGTAAAATGAAAAATTCTTTATCTGCCTGTTTATCCAGATCCAGTCTAAACCTTCCTTTGGTAATGCCCCACCCCATGCCTCCACAACATTTCATGGAAACCTTTTTGTAGTTTTCCAGTAATCCTGCAGGCAGACAGACACAAACAAACCGCAATGAAAACATAACCTCCTTGTGGTGGAGGTAATAATCAGAACTTCGGTTCAATCATTATACATGTAAGTTAAACTCAACTCATGATCTTTGACCCTGTTGCTCTTTTTCACCCTCTTCAAAACATGTTTCTATAACAGTCTCTTACTCACAAG